TGCAATGATTGTGAAGCTTCATACATAGGCAGAACTTGTAGACCTTTGAAAGTTCGTATAGGAGAACATTTGAATAAAACAGAATTTTCAGCTTTTGGCCATCACATCAAATTCAGTAAACATAATTTCAGTCCAAATCGTAATTCAAAAATTTTGAAAGAGGTTAATTCAAAAAATTACAATAGACTAGATTTTTTGGAAGATTTAGAAATCGAAAAAGAACTTCGAAACAATGACCTTTGTTTGAACACACAAGTACAATTAAATAGATGTTACATTCCTTTACATAGACGTTTGAAATAATAAGCAATTCTCCATGATGATATCCATTATAACTCATACAAGACACTGTTCCGGATTTCGGCTTCAACAAGTCTGAATCTGGCTTACTTTTCGGACTTGAGTCCGGTCTACGCTTGAGGTCGGGAGGCTCAACTGATGTTGTCATTCTCTTGTGGATTCACAACTTGGGTTGGGCATCCTTAGATCTTCGGCTCGAACACTAGGACTTTTGAGTCCGAAATGGAAGTCCTGCTCTTTAATTTTCACCCAACACAACAAAATTGCATTCAGGATCCGGCTTACTTTTGAGACTTGAGTTCGGCCTTCGTTCTGGGTCTGGAGGTATTCTGGTGGTATGTTTGCTTCTGATGAGGCATTCGTCTACAGGAATTCTCCTTGGACTTCCAGTTTGGACACTAGGACTCTTAAGTCTTGATTGGAAACTCTTTTCTCTCAATTTTACTAAAAAAGGTTTACTCTTTGGCCTGGATTGAAGTCCACTTCATCTTATTTTACCTTTCAGAATGTTTCAAAATTTTCAGACAGCTTTTCTGCTCACCTTGTCAATTCTTTCCCAAGCGCTTCTTTCATTATGTCACTTGTCTACTTCATACACATGTTAACTAAGTCATAGACATTGACACTCAGTCATTGTCAACATTTTACTAAGGTTAAAAATTATCAAACATTTTCCAGAATAAATAAGGTTAAGGTCCCTCGTGCTATTTGTGGACTTGAACAAAACAATCTCAACATGTTTTTTAAAAAAATTTTACAATAACCCTTTAGGGAACATTTTTGTTAAATGTATGTCTGTTCATAATCCCGTTTGTACCATAATGATGTTTGTGATCACTAATTTTTGGACCTTTTTGTAAATACTTGACGAGTAAGTAATCTACCTTTTTAGATTTGTTTTTGAAATTTCATAAATGTTACTTACTTGCAGGTATAGCACTGATGATGGCTTTTTAGCCGAAAGCGCTTTGCGATTTATAATAAAAAAATTTGCACGAAATACAAAATCTCTTCATTCTATTGATCAGTTACGTGTATGCAGCTAGTAAAAATCTTCACCTTAGTGACTACAGTATGGTAGAATTGGCTGATAAATACAAGAAGCTCTCCATTAAGAGATCCACGATTCAAGTGGACATTTGGTTTTTGAACAGATGCATCAATGAAAAGGTCACCCCTATTTTTGCAAAAATAATCAGTTCTAGGAATGTAAACTCACACCTCAAAAAGGAAATGGAACTCAAGATAATCAGGAAATCAATTTGCAAACATTATGCAAAACTCAATAACATCAATTGTTCTTTGAAAAATCTCTTTAATAGAATATCTATACAATTAGGCTACACACAGTTACAAAATTTTCTAAACGATGTTCAGGATTCAGTATTTATTAGCAAACAGGAAAAGTTTGACAGAGTGAGCAAGAAACTTTCAAATTTAATACAAGAAAAATTCCACAATTCCAACAATAACAGAAATAAACAATTCTCAGATTTCATTTTCCATGAGAGAGTCAAGAACCTTTCTGATGTTGGGTTTAATGACGAAGAGATGGAGTTGTTGAAGTTGGGTTTGAAATATTCTTTAGGGTATAATGTTTCTGAGAGAAACTTGCTAGAATTTGCTATTGAAATAGATGTTGCCATTGAACTTCTTTCAAGAGACAACAACATCAAAAAGGTTATCCGTAATGATATTCAAAATTTCCTATATAGAGTCAAGAAAGATAAATCTAAAAAGTTAACTGATAGGGAGAAACATTTTCAATTTTTACTTAAGAATATTAAAATGAAAATCAAGGATCATAACTTAGTTTTTTCAAAAGCAGACAAAGGTAATTGTCTAGTAATTATGAACAAAATTGACTACATCACTAAAGTTGAAACTTTCTTGACAGAACATGATTTCAAAATTCTTCCTTCGAACCCTTTCAATACCTTCATCAAGAAAACAAAAACTCTCATCAAAGTTAGTGACCAACTCCTCAAGGATTACAATGCTCCCTACAATTTAATTTCTAGCAATCCGGTCATTCCTCGATTATACGGACTGCCTAAGATACACAAAGTCGACATTCCTATCAGACCAGTAGTAAGTTTTACTAACACCCCAGTTTCAATTTTAGCAGCTTTCATTTACAACCTCATTAAGGACCTAACTAACTTCAAACCCAAGCACTCGGTGAGTAATACCTTAGATCTAACCACTAAATTATCAAATTTAAATTTCCCCATTGAAAATTGCCTTATGATTTCCTTTGATGTCAGCAACCTTTTCACTTCTGTTCCTAAATCAGAGACTGTACCTTTAGTAGGTAATATCCTTAAGGAAAATCATGTTCCTGAAGATACGGTAACACAAATTTTAACTTTACTAAATTTTTGCCTTTCTCAAGATTTTTTTGTTTTCAATGAAAAATTTTATAGACAACCTGAGGGTTTAGCAATGGGTAGTTGTTTATCTCCTTTCTTGGCAGATATATTCATGAATGACCTAGAGGTGAATCACATAATCATTGACAATAATTCTGAGATTTTAAATTGGTATAGATATGTTGATGATTGCTTGGTTTTCATCAATGGAAATTCAGACACTGCCAACAACCTTTTACAAAAAATAAACTCAATTCATTCTAACATAAAATTTACTCTTGAACTTGAAATAGACAATAAACTGAATTTCTTAGACTTGACGATCAAAAAATCAGACAGACTGGAATTCAGCATATACCGAAAGCCAACACAAACTGACCATGTCATTCCTTCTTTCTCTAATCACCCCCATCAGCACAAAATGGCAGCTTTCTATTGCTACATCCACAGGCTTCTCAATATTCCATTATCATCAACTGAATACAACAGAGAACTGAATACTATCAAACAAATAGCATGTAATAATGGTTACAACCCAAATTTGATCCCAAAGCTAATTCAAAAAATCAAACATAAGAGAGAACATAATCTAACTTATCCTAGAGAAGAAGTTTACAGATATATATCCCTACCTTTCACAAATGAAAACATCTCTCAAAAAGTTTCAAGTTTCATCAAAAACAAGTTAACAAACACCAAAATATCTTTCAAAAGCACTAATAATTTGAGCAAACATTTGGTTAATTCTAAAGATAAAATCAATAAATTATCTAAAAGTGGTATTTACAAATTAAATTGCAATGATTGTGAAGCTTCATACATAGGCAGAACTTGTAGACCTTTGAAAGTTCGTATAGGAGAACATTTGAATAAAACAGAATTTTCAGCTTTTGGCCATCACATCAAATTCAGTAAACATAATTTCAGTCCAAATCGTAATTCAAAAATTTTGAAAGAGGTTAATTCAAAAAATTACAATAGACTAGATTTTTTGGAAGATTTAGAAATCGAAAAAGAACTTCGAAACAATGACCTTTGTTTGAACACACAAGTACAATTAAATAGATGTTACATTCCTTTACATAGACGTTTGAAATAATAAGCAATTCTCCATGATGATATCCATTATAACTCATACAAGACACTGTTCCGGATTTCGGCTTCAACAAGTCTGAATCTGGCTTACTTTTCGGACTTGAGTCCGGTCTACGCTTGAGGTCGGGAGGCTCAACTGATGTTGTCATTCTCTTGTGGATTCACAACTTGGGTTGGGCATCCTTAGATCTTCGGCTCGAACACTAGGACTTTTGAGTCCGAAATGGAAGTCCTGCTCTTTAATTTTCACCCAACACAACAAAATTGCATTCAGGATCCGGCTTACTTTTGAGACTTGAGTTCGGCCTTCGTTCTGGGTCTGGAGGTATTCTGGTGGTATGTTTGCTTCTGATGAGGCATTCGTCTACAGGAATTCTCCTTGGACTTCCAGTTTGGACACTAGGACTCTTAAGTCTTGATTGGAAACTCTTTTCTCTCAATTTTACTAAAAAAGGTTTACTCTTTGGCCTGGATTGAAGTCCACTTCATCTTATTTTACCTTTCAGAATGTTTCAAAATTTTCAGACAGCTTTTCTGCTCACCTTGTCAATTCTTTCCCAAGCGCTTCTTTCATTATGTCACTTGTCTACTTCATACACATGTTAACTAAGTCATAGACATTGACACTCAGTCATTGTCAACATTTTACTAAGGTTAAAAATTATCAAACATTTTCCAGAATAAATAAGGTTAAGGTCCCTCGTGCTATTTGTGGACTTGAACAAAACAATCTCAACATGTTTTTTAAAAAAATTTTACAATAACCCTTTAGGGAACATTTTTGTTAAATGTATGTCTGTTCATAATCCCGTTTGTACCATAATGATGTTTGTGATCACTAATTTTTGGACCTTTTTGTAAATACTTGACGAGTAAGTAATCTACCTTTTTAGATTTGTTTTTGAAATTTCATAAATGTTACTTACTTGCAGGTATAGCACTGATGATGGCTTTTTAGCCGAAAGCGCTTTGCGATTTATAATAAAAAAATTTGCACGAAATACAAAATCTCTTCATTCTATTGATCAGTTACGTGTATGCAGCTAGTAAAAATCTTCACCTGAAGAACATATGGCTAACCTAGAGGAAGTTTTCAAAAGACTTCAGGCAGCAAACCTCACACTCAATCTGAAGAAATGCCATCTGCTGCAGAAACGGGTTAACTACTTGGGACACGTCGTAGGAAGGCGTGGTGTGGAAGTCGACCCTGAGAAGGTACGAGCAGTGAACAACATGGCGCCGCCTGTAGTGGATGTGAAAGATCTAGCTCCAAAGTCAAATGTGTGTAATAAGTGCAAAAATTCGGTAAAATCAGGATTGAAATGCATGAAATGCGATATTGTATTCCACCCGAGCTGTGCGAAGAATTGTAGCTATGTGACATTCCTCGATAATAACAAAATCGTGTGCTGTGATAGTGCCCCAACCTCAAAAGACGATATTATGGATCCGGAATCAAATGCGGCGTTATTTGATGCCTTGGAAAAAGTGTACCCTGATGGTAAAGTTGACCTCAGCATATTTAGTTATATCATTAGACAAAAAGATACTATAATCAAACAGCTAGAAGAAAAAGTCATGCTTTTGAACAGTCATATCAGTGTCCTAAATGCGAAGCATATCGATTCAATAAATCTCCAAAAAACTGTCGTTGCTAGACCTGTGGCTGATATTGCGATAAATGAACATCAACAAAGTTATAGCGAGGTTGCCGCGTCGTCGAGCTCATCTAGACATATGGGAAATCCCGAAATGGTGTCCAAGCAAAATGTCGCTGAGGCAGTTATGAATGCGAACACACAATTGAAATGTAATCACTACATAAATTTGGGAGGAACTACTAGCATACATGCAAATGACTCTCCAGTAAGTCCTGCAATCTCACTACGAAATCATGATGTAGATAATGACGGTTTCCAAAAAGTTACCAGAAGAAAACCTGAGAGGAAATCTAAGAAGATGGGAACCGGAGACGGTGATAAAACATTTCATGGAAAGAAGGATAACGAGAATAGGAAATTATGGCTTTTCATCTCAAGAGTGCCTGACTCAGTTAACTCAGAGAACGTGAAACAGTTTCTGCAGACGAAAACAAATTCCAATCAGGTAGAGGTAAAACTACTACCAACTCAAAATAATAGAGCAGATAATCAATCTTTTATGATCGGTGTTGCACCGGAACTGAAAGATCAAGTGTATAATCCTGCATTTTGGCCTAAAAAAATCACTTTTGAGCGATTCAATTTCAGATTGGGAAAAAGATTCCTCGAAAACCGAGGAACCGATGAGGCAATTTCAGCATCGGTACAGGGTCAACCACAGTCTTTTTTAGGAATATAAATCCACGAGAAAACCTTCCTTATGAAGAACAGAACACCACATTTTTCAAATTGCTACAGCTCAATGCTCAATCTCTTTCAAATAAACTGGTCAAATTAGAATTATTGATTATTCAAGAAACCCCGGACGTAGTGAGCCTGTCTGAACACTGGTGTAGTCAAGAAAACATCGAATTCATGACTTTAAATGGTTATGTTATTGCTTCATACTTTTGCCGTTCCTTCCATATCCATGGAGGAACCATCATTTATATTAGGGCTGATCTCAAGTTTGAGCCGATACGAATTTCACACTTGAGCGAAGAAATGCATTTTGAGTGCTGTGCAATATCTGTTGTGGCACCTGATCGCAAAATTTGTGTAGTGAGTATTTATAGGCCACCCACAGGGGATATGGAAATATTTTTAGGCAAGTTTTGTGATGTCTTAGAATTATGCAGTGAATCTCATCGTGATGTTTTTGTCTGTGGGGATCTAAATATTGATTTCTTGGTAAATTCAATAAACAAACAATCCTTACAAGATATTCTTGTAAGCTACAATCTGACAGTCACCTCTATGACTCCCACAAGAGTTTTCATGAATAAACTTGGTCAAATGTCATCCACAAAAATAGACTATGTTTTAACTAATGTTGATATTGATTATTGTAAATCTAACGTATATGAAGGTCATTTTAGTGATCACAGAATATTTGCCTTAACTGTTGCCCATTTTGGTAAGATTTGTAAGAAAGAGAGCAAACAAACTTTCCATCGTGACATGTCTGAGGAAAATATTGATAAATTCAAAAACGCACTGTCTATAGAAAATTTTAGCGAAGTTTATCTTGAATCTAATATTGAGGATGCTACAAACACGTTTATTAATGTTCTAACATATTATCTAGATTTCTATTGCCCAGTCAAAACGAATTATAGAAAGTATCAAGTTAATAAAGGAGAGTGGGTAACAGCAGAAGTCAAACAAGCTGGAAAATATTTAAAAAATCTCTACTGGTTGAGTAAAAATGTAGAAGGGCATGATTGTCAACGATTGTACAGAAAGGCTAAAACTGAATATAACAATTTAATTAAGACAACTAAAAGACAATTTCATGAGCAACTTGTGAACAATTCTGAGAACAAGGCTAAAACAATCTGGAATCTAGTGAATAAAGAGACTGGAAGGAAGAAAAAAGAAAATGATATAACAGTCAGCTCCGATGGGGTTATTTCAACGAATCCTTTAGATGTAGCAAATACATTCGCTGAATATTTTGCTAATGTTACAGACGATAATCTTAATAGATATTTTGGGCAGTCGAGGTCTACGACCTGTACTACACCAAAAATGTTCAACAAAACATTTTTCTTCACACCTGTGACTCCTGAAGAAGTTGAAGATGTGATTAATAACTTGCCAAACAAATCTAGTACTGGCATCGATAATATTTCAACCAAAATTTTGAAGGCAGGCATCAAATCTCTTTCTTGTCATTTATCTTATCTTATTAACTTTTCAATTATAGAGGGCAAATTTCCTACATCTTTAAAATATGCAAAAATTATCCCAATTCATAAAAAAAATGATCCTGAAAATGTTTCAAATTATAGACCAGTCTCGGTGCTGAGTGTTATATCTAAAATATTCGAGAAAGTTGTCTATAGCAGAATGATACATTTTTTGGATTCAAACAATTTGATAGCCTCGCACCATCATGGTTTTCGTGCAAATAAATCAACACAAACTGCTGCATGCAATTTTTTCGAATACGTATACAAGGAACTGGACAGCGGAAAGCATGTGGCAGGTCTGTTTTTTGATCTATCACGTGCTTTCGACTGTCTTGACATAAAATTCATTGAAAATAAATTATACAGTATAGGATTTAGAGGGATTTTTCTTGAATGGATATTAGATTTTTTAACCAATAGAAAGAACCTAGTAAAAGTAGGGGAGGCCATATCAGAATCTTACACTATGGACAGAGGAGTTCCTCAGGGATCTGTGTTGGGGCCTTTAATATTTTTACTTTTCATAAATGACTTACCAAAACATTTAAAACATCACCTTTTAACCATATATGCGGACGATACATCATTGGCAGTCTCTGCACAGACCTCGGAGGAACTCATGTCTTCTATCAAGGATACTGTACGAACCTTCGTGAATTGGTGCAAGTCCAACTGTTTGATGGTGAATGTTGAGAAGACAGAATGCGTATATTTTCATTCCCATAATATAGTTAACAACTTACGTACTCTTACTATAAACTTTGAGAACCAAACAATGATTGAATCAACTGCAACAACAAAGTTCTTGGGTTTGAATATTGACTCCAATCTTCGATGGATAGATCAAGTTAACGCTGTTAACACCAAATTAAATAAGGCATATTATGCGATATCTAGAATAAGAGACACCATGCCCACCAGTGCAATAATTAATGTATACTATAGTCTAGTATACAGTCACTTATGTTATAATATCATTTTATGGGGTAACTCAGTCGATGTAACTAAAATATTTGTGACACAAAAGAAGATCATTCGAAAGATGTTCCGACTAGAATATCAACAAACTTGTAAACCCACCTTCATAAAATATAAAATAATGTCTTTCTACAGCGTGTTTATTTATCACTGTCTTCTGTTTGTGAGAAATAACATCAATACCTTCCAACTGAATTCTTCAAATCATTACTATGACACCAGAAACTCAGATCTCCTACGCATTCCCAAACACAAAACAACAAAACTAGAAAATAGTTTTAGATATATGGGAATGAAATTATACAATCATCTTCCAACATTAATTAAAAATATAATTTCCAATTCTTCTTTTAAACGAACTATAAAAAATTTAATGGTCACCAAATGTTATTATAGTATAGATGAATATCTGCAGGATGACTTGTAGTACCTAGCCATTTTAGCCATTGTTGCCATTTGTTTTAATTTTTACTGACAATAATTGTATTTTGTGTATTTCATCATGTATTTTATTTTTAAACCATTTTGTAAGCGCTTGACTTGTCCTATACATTTTGTAATGTCTCAAAGGATAAAATAAATATTATTATTATAGTGAAGCAATGGCCAGTACCAAGAGATAAGCATCAACTCAGGAGCTTTCTTGGGCTCTGCACTTATTATCGACGTTACGTTCGAATGTTTTCGGATATCGCAAAGCCCCTGACTCGTCTCACCGAGGAAGCACGTCCCTTCCACTGGGATCCAGAATGCCAGGCCGCCTTTGATGCTCTGAAGGAACGCTTGACCACGACACCGATTCTTGGGTATCCACTTCCACAAGGACAATTCATTCTTGACACAGATGCCAGTAATATCGGCATTGGTGGAGTCCTTTCGCAGTATCAAGATGGGCTAGAGCGAGTCATCGGTTACTTCAGCAAGGTGCTATCGAAGGCAGAACGAAACTACTGCGTTACCAGGAGGGAACTATTAGCCATGGTAAAATCGGTGGAGCACTTCTATAAGTACCTCTATGGGCGAAAATTCCTACTCAGGACGGACCACGCTGCATTGAAGTGGCTCCTGAATTTCAAGAACCCCCAAGGCCAAGTAGCTCGTTGGATCGAGAGGCTCCAAGAATATGACTTCGAAATAGCACACCGAGTGGGGACATAAGAATGCAGATGCATTGTCCAGAAGGCCATGTCCACCTGAGTGCCCACATTGTAGTCGTTTGGAGGATAAGGAAGCAGCCCTCTATAGAACCACCGTTGTCAATGAAGATTGGTTACCTGCAGCAGTCAAGCAAGAGCAAGAAAAGGACCCAGAACTTCGGAAGCTTCGAGAATGGAAGAAAGCGAATCGCCGTCCTTCTTGGCAAGAAGTAGCACCATCTTCACAGACTTTGAAGGCGTACTGGAGTCAGTGGGACTCCTTGGTATTAGAAGATGACCTGCTCAAGAGGAATCTCGAGAGCGATGATGGGTCGGATAATCGGATGCAGTTGGTCATTCCTAGGAGCCGAGTATCGGAAGTACTTGGATATGTACATGATGGAACTTCAGGGGGACATCTAGGAGTGAGGAAGACACTGCAGCGGGTACGGGAGCGGTTCTACTGGGTGAACTGCAGTGACGACGTCAGGGAGTGGTGCCGTAAATGCACTGTGTGCTTTGCCAGCAATGGCCCTCATCGTAAACCAAGGGCACCCATGAGACAGTACAATGTTGGAAGTCCTTTCGAGAGGATTGCCATGGATATTGCGGGGCCGTTTCCAGTGACTGATAATGGAAATAAATACATCCTTGTCTGCATGGACTACTTCACCAAGTGGGTGGAAGCGTATGCGATCCCTAACCAGGAAGCCGTAACTGTCGCCGATGTCCTGATGAATCAACTCATCAGTCGTATTGGGGTGCCATTGGAACTTCACTCTGATCAGGGCCGGAACTTCGAGAGTGAAGTGTTTAAGAAGATGACCGAGAAGTTAGGAATCAAGAAAACAAGAACAACTCCATTGCATCCACAGTCAGATGGCATGGTGGAGCGAATGAACCGAACCATAGGGAGGTATCTCTGCAAAGTCGTTGATCAACACCAACAAGACTGGGATCAACATCTTCCTTTCTTCTTGATGGCCTACAGATCTGCGGTACAGGAATCTACAGGACAGACTCCGGCGAAGGTTCTATTTGGACGAGAGATGAGGCTTCCATGTGACTTGGTCTTCGGATATAGACCTGGTGAGGACATAGTAGGGGAAGATTACGTTACGAATCTGATGAGAAAGATGCACGATATTCACGAATTGGTTCGT